GGCTTAACGATTCAAATCTTCATATGGACATTCACACTGATTACGGGTGTAATAGACTTTGAAATTTATTTGAATATTATTTCACTTTTCACTTTTCCTTCCAAATTTATTTGCCTTATCGTCTTGCACCTCCAGAGATGCAAGAGTTATCCTCGCAGCTTCAGGAGCTGCTGGGGAAGGGGTTTATTCGGCCGAGTAGCTCGCCGTGGGGAGCACCCATTCTGTTTGTGAAGAAGAAGGACGGCTCGCATCGAATGTGTATTGATTACCGAGAATTGAATAAGCTGACGGTCAAGAACCGTTACCCGTTCCTGAGGATCGACGATTTATTCGATCAGTTACAGGGAGCATCTTGGTTCTCCAAGATCGATTTGAGGTCGGGCTATCATCAGGTGAGAGTGCGGGACGAGGACGTCCAGAAGACAGCATTCAGGACGCGTTATGGGCATTATGAGTTTGTGGTGATGCCTTTTGGGCTCACCAATGCCCCGGCTGTGTTCATGGACCTCATGAACAGGGTATGCAGGCCGATGTTGGATCGGTCGGTGATTGTATTTATCGATGATATTCTGGTATATTCGAGATCTAGAGAGCAGCATGAGGAGCATTTGAGGGAAGTTCTTGGAGTTTTGAGATCGGAGAAACTTTATGCAAAGTTTTCCAAGTGCGATTTCTGGTTGCGGGAGGTCCAGTTTCTGGGGCACCTCGTTAATCAGAAAGGGATATTGGTCGATCCGGCCAAGGTTGACGCGGTGATGAGATGGGAGGTGCCAAAGTCACCCTCTGAGATCAGGAGCTTCCTTGGGTTGGCAGGGTACTATCGGAGGTTTATCAAGGATTTCTCCAAGATCGCAGTGCCACTCACCAGATTGACCCGGAAGGGTGTTACATTTTTATGGGGTCCCGAGCAGCAGACCTCCTTTGAGACGCTTCGCCAAAGGTTGTGCGAAGCTCCGGTATTAGCTCTTCCGGAAGGGATGGAAGATTTTGTGGTATTCTGTGATGCATCGATTTTAGGGCTGGGAGCGGTGCTGATGCAGAAGGGACATGTGATAGCATATGCATCGAGGCAGTTGAAGCCTCATGAGACGAGATATCCCACACATGATTTAGAGTTGGGGGCAGTGGTGTTCGCTCTCAAGATTTGGCGACACTACTTGTATGGGGTTCGTTGTACGATATACACGGACCATAAGAGCTTGAAGTACTTGATGGATCAGCCTAACCTAAATATGCGGCAGAGGAGGTGGTTAGATGTGGTCAAGGATTATGATTGTGAGATCTTGTACCACCCGGGCAAGGCTAATGTGGTAGCCGACGCATTGAGTCGCAGGGCGGAGAGTACTCCACTGCGAAATGTATGTTTGAGATTGACCGTGATAGCTCCAGTTCTGGACGCCATTCGTGGGGCACAGGCCGAGGCTGTGCATCCGGAGATGCAGAAGAGAGAACGGGTCGTTGGTTTGGTTTCTGAGTTTGTGTCGGATAGTCGAGGGCTTATGACTTTTCAGGGCCGGATTTGGGTACCGTTTGTGGGCGGTACGCGTACTACATTGATGGAGGAAGCTCATAGATCGAAATTTTCGATCCATCCCGGGGCTACAAAAATGTATTTGGATTTGAGGAAAGAGTATTGGTGGCCTTGTATGAAGAGGGACGTCGCATGGTTTGTCGAGAGGTGTTTGACCTGTCGAAGGGTGAAGGCCGAGCACCAGAGACCGCATGGCAAGTTGCAGCCATTGGAGGTTCCCGAGTGGAAGTGGGAACAGATCACTATGGATTTCATCACCAAATTGCCGAGGACTGCCAGAGGAGTTGATGCAATTTGGGTGATTGTGGATAGGTTGACGAAGAGCGCTCACTTTCTTGCCATCAGTGAGAGTTCTTCGGCGGAGAAGTTGGCGGAGGTTTATGTGAGAGAAGTGGTATCTCGGCATGGGGTGCCGATCTCGATTGTTTCGGACCGTGATGTGCGCTTCACTTCCCGATTCTGGAAGAAATTTCATGAGGAGTTGGGTACTAAGCTGCATTTTAGTACCGCATATCACCCCCAGACAGACGGCCAGAGTGAGCGGACGATTCAGACGCTTGAGGACATGCTTCGAGCATGTGTATTGGATTTTGGGGGTAGCTGGGATACGTATTTACCCTTGGCAGAGTTTTCCTACAATAACAGCCATCATTCGAGCATCGGTATGCCGCCCTTTGAGCTGTTGTATGGTAGGAGGTGTCGGACTCCCATTTGTTGGGGTGAGGTTGGGCAGAGAGTGATGGGCAGTACAGAGATCGTGATTCAGACGACAGAGCAGATACAGCGGGTCAGACAGAGGTTATTGACCGCCCAGAGCCGACAAAAGAGTTATGCGGACAGGCGCCGGTCCGAGCTTGAATTTCAGGTCGGCGACTTCGTTCTCCTGAAGGTTTCTCCTTGGAAAGGAGTGATTCGGTTCAGGAAGAGGGGCAAGTTGGGGCCCCGGTTTATAGGTCCATTTCGTGTGATTGCGAGGGTAGGCCGGGTAGCCTATCGGTTGGAGTTGCCAGCAGAGTTGGGACAGATTCACGACACTTTTCATGTGTCGCAGTTGAGGAAGTGTATAGCCGATGAATCGGCAGTGGTTCCGTTAGAGGATATTCAGGTGGATGCAAGCCTGAATTATGCCGAGAGACCAGTGGCCATCAGGGATCGGAAGATCAAGGTTTTGAGAAACAAGGAGGTACCTCTGGTGTTGGTTCAGTGGCAACACCGGAGGGGATCAGAGATGACCTGGGAGCCAGAGCGTATGATGCAGGAGCAGCATCCGGAGCTGTTTTTAGAGCGAGACTTCGAGGGCGAAGTCTAGTCCTAGTGGGGGAGAGTTGTAACAGCCGGATTTTATCAGGTATCTTGTTTATTGTATTTTGTTGATTTGTAGGGGGACTCGGCGAGTTGGAGCTCAGACTCGCCGAGTAGGGATGCGGATCTGGACGCGGGATCGCGCCTGGACTCGACGAGTCCAGGATATGGACTCGGCGAGTCAGCGCTGTGTAATGAAACCCTAATTTCTCGGGTTTGAGACTTATTTAAAGGGCCTAATGGCCGTCATTTGTGCTCACCAGCCCCTTGAGTGAAACCCTAATCGAGTGTGAGCATTTGGAGCTAAGTAGGAGGCCATTATTGACCTTGGAGGTGCCATTGTTGCAAGGAAGGAGAAGAGCTAGCCAAGGGAAAGCAAGAGGAGCCACTTCTGTGGGTTTGGAGTCCAGAGCATCACTTTTGTGGTAATAAATCCGAGTTACCTTCTTGTTGTTGTTTATCTAGATTTAGGGTTTGTTGAACCCTTTTATGGCAAGATTTAGTGTCCTCTTGGTCCCTTATGAGGTTGAACCATAGATCTGGACCCTTAGAGGTCCAGAGTGTCCCTTTACCCAAGCTTTTTGGGAATCAATGGAGGCTTTGGATTGGAATCCTCATGCCTTAGGTCAAAAACTCCATTTATGAGCTATAGGGTGTGTTATGAGCACCAAGATAGGAGCTTTACGTGATGAATCAGTCGAGGGAGGCCAGATCTATAGTTTTTGGAAGCAGATCTGACCTTAGAAGCAGTTGGAGTGGTTGCATGGCATGGACTCGCCGAGTCTGTTCATCCGACTCGGCGAGTAGCTTGAAGATTGCCTTGGGACTGCTCAGCGAGTGGTCCAATCGAGTCATGGGTAGACTCAGTGAGTCAGGGTGAGTTGGAGAGGGATGACGAGTGGACTGAGTCAAACTTGGACTCGCCGAGTTGTCCTTGAGACTCGGCGAGTTGAGTCGGGGTGGCCCCGCGATTCATTCAGGTGAAACTCGTCGAGTAAAGGGGGGATACTCGACGTGTAGTAAGGGGATTTCAGAGGGTTGGTGAAAACGTCTAGACTCGCCGAGTCGCCATGGTACTCGCCGAGTCCGGTCAGAGTTGACCGTTGACCGTTGACCAGAGTTGACCTGTGTTGACTTCTTATGGATAGTCAACCTTAGAGATATAAAGTGTTAATTAGAAACATATAATGTTATAGGAGGATTAGAGCTCGGAGGATCGAGCACGAGGGATTTCCAGGATTCGTGAGATACCGAGATACGCGAGGTGAGTCTTCTCACTATACTATATTACCTTGAGTAGGTAACCAGAGTTATGTGATAGAGTATTTGTATGCTATGTATGTTATGTGTTGTACTGCATTATTTCTATGTGATTTATGTAGTGCATGTTTATCAGAGCTAGAACCTGAGGGTTCACAGAGTTTGGGTGCACGGACCCACAGAGTTATAGCCTCGAGTGGCTAATATGTGTTATATGTGGTATTTTGGGGAACTCACTAAGCCTTGTGCTTACAGTGTTTGATGTTGTTGTTTTAGGTACTAGTGACGACCGCGGGAAGGCACCGGCTTGATCCGTACACACACACTCGGAGTTTTTACATTGTGATCTTGGGATTTTGTATTAACCTATATTGGATAATTAATATGGTTGTTTGATGAATATTAATCGAATTATGTTTTATAAGAAAATTGAAAATTTTGTTTTGAAATTTACGGTGTTACAACTTATTCAACTATTCTGATAAATTACATATTGTTCTCTTGATCACTAAACACATTTTCGTCTAGTTTTAGTAAACACACACACACACACACACACACATATATATATATATATATATATATATATATATATATATATATATATATATATAGGTTGAAATGTTTCTAATATCTATTGTGTGTACGTAAGATTCATTCTGAACCAATTATTTTAGTTATTTTAAGAAAGTAATTAATAATTAATACTCATTATATCTTGAACATATAATATGCATTAATTACTTTATTAAAATAATTAAAATGATTAGTCCACAATCAATCCAGCTGCACATAATAGATAGTTAGAACACAATAACCTAATCCTATATATATATATATATATATATATATATATATATATATATATATATATATATATATATAAGTATGTTAATTTTAGTAATCACACAATATAAGTACGTACCATTATTATAGGTCAAAAGTAGGTGGTAGAAAAGTCTATCATCAAAGACAACACTGTCTTCCTAATTGCTTCCAAATACAACTCATATATTGAATGTTTTACCAATACAAAGTGTAAACCATGGAGTCATCTGGTCATAAACATGATGATGTTAGGCAAAATTTGGCTACAGAACGGTTAGTCTACTTATCAACATACATATTCTTGCCTAGTTTGCCCTTCTTTCACACATAACAAACATGTTAAATTTTATAAGTTGATGGGGTTCTGGTTTCTGGTTGCAAGGTTAAAGGGGAAAGTTGCGGTTGTAACCGGTGGAGCAAGGGGAATCGGAGGTGCAACAGCAACAATCCTGGCTGAGAATGGCGCTCATGTTATAGTTGCTGATGTTTTGGACGATGCTGGTGAAAGTCTTGCCCAGTCTATTGGAGGTCTTTACATACACTGTGATGTCTCTAAAGAATCCGATGTCGAATCTGCTGTTCAACTTGCTCTATCTTGGAAAGGAAAACTTGATATACTCTTCAACAATGCTGGAATTATTGGTATAATTAAAACACATATTTTCTTACAATATATATTCTAATATATACAAGGAAAGAAACATTTATACGTAACTGTGCTTTTATATACGCCACGGGTAATTGTTGTAGCAATAGGTCGAGCTTAAAGCTGGGTCTAGTATAGCTATGGAGTTTTGTTTCTCTTATGTTGTTGAAATTTATGTTTAATTTCAGATAATGGAAGGAGCATCACGAATCTTGAAATGGAAAAGGTGGCAACCCTAATTAACGTTAACATAAAAGGCGTTATACATGGGATAAAACACGCTGCAAGAGCCATGATTTCAGTTGGTAACGGAGGTTCCATCATTTGTTCATCAAGTTCAGCTGCAATCATGGGAGGCCTTGCATCGCACGCATACACGGTAACTAAAGGAGCCATTCTTGCAGTATCAAAGAGCGCAGCCTGCGAGTTAGGAGTTCATGGGATTCGCGTCAATTGTGTCTCACCACACGCCATCCCATCAGAGATGCTCGTGAATGCATATCGAGACCATTTAGGGAAACCGAAAATGACCATGGAAGAAGTAAGCAACAGGATAGGTGAATGTGGTAGTTTACTTCAGGGGAGATGTGGAAGCATGGACGATGTTGCACAAGCTGTGTTATTTCTAGCCAGCGATGAAGCCGGATTTATAACTGGCCATAATTTGGTGCTTGATGGTGGCTATACTTCGTCTAAAGTTGAAATGAGCTTCATTTATCGGCATAAATCATGAATGTTGAAGATTATCATCAGTGAAACTGAATTATATACTGCTTCTATAGTCTACTATTGAATAGAGTCATTTTATAATACTAAATATTTAGCTTATTTAATAGTTAAAAACTGTTCGATATATGGATTTATATCCCCAACTATACGCATTAATTGGTAGTTTCTGGACTCGATTTCTCCCTGAATTCCTCGATCTAAAATATATTCTATGAGCATAAAATTGACATGTAGGTCCCTATAGAATGTTGTTTGTTTGTTGGAAAATTTTGATTAGTGACTGAACCATGTGATATATTATTGCTACTGCAAAAAAGAACATTACCGACTACTAAAACCGCCGGTGTCCGTTGCTAATAGGCTTTACCGACGGAATTGCAACAGACCCAACTGCGTCGGTATATTCTTGTTGGTAAGTGTTTGTACGGGTTTCCGACAGCTAGAGCAAATTTAGTAACAGATTTTCCATCGGTAATTAGTAAACAATCACCGACAAAAATATTTTTGCAATGGATCATCGACGGAATGTGTTTACAACAGATTACCGACAGAATAACTCGCTAACGAATTACCGAAGGAATATCGGAATAACTCTATAAAGGATTACCGACATATTTGATGTGACAGATTACCAACGGATTTTGGCATTGCAAAAATAAATTTTAATCTTAAAACATACATCAAATCCATATTTCAAAACAAACAAACATAAAAATAAAAAAGTTTCAATACTCTACATACATTAGATTCATAATTTTCAAATACATATAGAAAATGGTTGACTAAATAACTAATTAACTAATTCGTATGTTTGTATTTTAATAATAGAAACCAAAAATTATAAAAATTATGATACATTGGTTTTAAAATTGTTAATAGTTTGAGTGGGGGTCTTAAGAGAATGCTCGTTTAGATATAACTCTCTCCATTGCTCATCGAACCTTCTTTAAACAACAATGTTTGCTTTTAGATTATCCAAATACACCTTTTCCTAAAGTAGGGATGTCAAAAATCTCGTGGGATCCTGTCCCGTTTGGGAGTATTTATTAAAATAATCGGGGGCAGGGACAGGGGTAGAGACATTATTAAATTTTCAGGGGCGGGGACGAGGGTGGGCAATCCCGTCCCGAAACCCCATGGGGTCCCCGTTAATAAATTATACATATATTTACATCTATTAGTTATATAAATATAATAAATAATAACATAATTTTGAGCTTCTAAAATTTAATAAATAAACATGTTTTTAAGTTAATGTTTTTAAGATTCCATAACTTTTTTTTAACATGTAAAATTTTGCTATAACAAAATATGTGTTACCTAAAAATAGCATCTTGTAATCCAAACAACAACTTCTTTTAGCCCAAAAAAAGACAACCTAAAATTAATCGGGGGTAGGGGAGCAGAGAAAGTTTGGGGGGCGGGGGCAGGAGGTGCATTACCTATCTCGTTTGCCCCCGTTGACATCATTATTCTTATAATTTGCAAATTGATATCTATTTATTTATCAAACCATTATTGTTTTAACGTGGTCGATTTACCCCTGGTGTATTGTTCAGAAAGAAAGTGATTTACCTGATGTTTGGTGTTAGGAAATTTAGGGTTTGTGGTGGAGATCTGGATACCAACTTGGATCATGATCTCACTTTCTGAACTGATATTTCTACCCTATGCCTGGGTTACAAGAAATTCAGCCTAGGATAATCCAAGTGGACACTTACGTTTCTAGGCACAGAAAACGTAAGCCAATATGCGAAAGGATTTTGTGAATGTGTGATGAAAAACGAGAGCTAAAGAACGTAACCCCCTTCTGTATAAAAAGAGTCGTTTATATATTAAAAAAAATTAGGTTTCATTAGGGTTGGGTCGTCATTAGTTGAAGTGGGACCCCAGCCAAGGGCTCTGCCCCTTGGACCCCGCTAGGGGCGCTGCCCCTAGACCCCGCCAAAGGGGCGCTGCCCCCAGACCCCCGACTAGTCGTCGAACCGGCTTCTAATTCGATCTTATACATGCGTGCACTCTGCACTACTCCATGCATATATTAGAGTACAAATTATGAAGCCCCTTAGCTCACATGTTAGTTCCAGTTACTTAAAATGACATGGTGACACTAAAATCACCAACATTTGGTTGAGAAGAAAATGAACGAAAGTTCTAATTTTGGTCGCTATAGTATGGATTCCAATTCCGGTTCTTGGTGGAGCTGGCGTTGAAATACTGCAATGTTAAAAACCAAAGAATTATTCTCCAACAAAATAAATAAAAAACTTCTAGCCTAAAAAGTAGAAAAACTGAGAGAAACTTATGCTTGGAGGGCGAGAATGGAATAAGAACACATTCCTATTTTTATCCCTTCTAGTTTGGTACTTCATATTCTTTTCGTATTTAGACATTGTACTTTAACAAAATCTACCCATTATAGCATCATACTTTCAAATTATCTTATTATGAAATCATCCTTTGAAATTAGGATGTTATAATAATCAAATCAACAGAAGTATGTTGCTATCAAACAATGCAAGCAAAAGTATAACTATAACCTGAACAAACATAATCTGGTAAAGGTGTTTTTATGTGATACAAATGCAAATATGGGAATAACTATGGTAGCATAATATAATAATATAATTAATGTGAAAAAAGAGGATGAAGATGATGTGAAATCAAAAGTGGAAAGGAATCATGATGTGAATGGTTCGCAAGGAAGCTCATAGACAAACACAAACAATTCGTCTGGTTTTATTAGATTGAAAAATATCCTAGTAACATATAGTAGAATACATACAGATGCATCTATGTTTGCAATGGCAAGGAACATGAGATAATGCAAAAAATAGCAATGTACTTTCATTTCTTCTAATTATAGCAATGTGCTTTGAACTTATTTCTTATACGTCTACCTCACTTGTTAGATAATCAATAATTCATAATCTACTTTGGTTTTTGATAATGTTGTAAATGAAAAAGATAGCAACTTGCTTTCATATATTTGTATGTAACGCCCATAGATCCGGGCTAGTCAATTTAGAGATAATAGGGGTCGAAAACGACTTTTCGACAAAAGATTATTTATAATAAATAATCTTAACCAAGTTGTAAAATATGTCTCAAGGATTCCGTACATATAAAGAATACTGAAATCCGAGTTATAACGAAGAAGTTATGGCCCGTCGAAGTTTTTCGGCAAAAAACCGGCACTGCACCGGGAGACGTAAATAGTGAATTTAAGATAGAGGAATTTCTATCCTTATAAGTCTAAATGAAAATTGTAGAGTATGTCTCCACCTACGCGTGGATATAAAGAACGTCAAAAACGGAGTTTGTATGCAAAAGTTATGGCATTCCGAAGATTTAGCTTTTAAAAACCCTAAACTAGCTAATTCACGACGTCATAATTATGACACTGACAACATTATGTCATAATTCGGAATCTAGAAGCTGCGAGAGGATAAGATCCAATTCACGACATGAGAATTATGACGTTCACAACTTATGTCATAATTCGGAATCTAGAAGCTGCGAGAGGATAAAATCCAATTCACGACGTGAGCATTATGACACTTATGACATGAGGTGTCTTGGCCACCAACCGAAGCTAGGGACGCAAATGGCAAGTCTACGGAGTGAATCATGAGATTCACGACGTGAGTCTTATGACACTCACGACATGAGTGTCATAAAAACTTACAATAAATAGCATGCAAGCCATTCCGAAAATCTCACACCTTTCTTAATTTCTTCTCTCTAAACTTTCTCTCTCTAAGGGTCTTAACCCTCCCCTAAGCCTAGGTGATCCCCTAGCACCCTAAGGAAGCCCCGAAGCTCCCGGAGTCCCGAGAAAAAGAGTCTTTCGGTTTCGAAACGCTGCTCCGAATAAAGCCCGGTTTTCTTTAAAATCCGCTGTAAGTGAGCTACGCTTACGCAATTTTTAATATAGATTTCAAATAATTATAGTAATGTTATTAGGTCCTTAAAATAATTATTTGGGCTATTATTATGAGTTATATTGAGTGTTATTTAACGCTTATACAATAATAATAGCTAGACTATTAATTAGTCACAGTTGACGTTAGACTAAACCCTAGTGGAATTGATACTAGGTTTTATTGAAGGAAAATTGTTTTGAGAGTATCGAAGCGCTGCCCGAGTGCTGAGTCACCACCTACTCAAGTGAGTGTATAGTCACTTTCACCTTACACACATATATGAAGTATTTTCTTTTAAATACGTGCTATGTGTAATTATATTAATTGTTTAATTAAGGTGACTGTTGAATAGATGTTTTATACAAGTTTTAAACTGTATATGTATTTTTATCTACAAATATGTTGGGTAAAACATGGATAGATGAATTAGATGATATTTGATGAAATAAAAGGTGATGAGAGGTATCGATGTTTAAGATGATCTAGTCATCTAGCAAAATATAGACAACAACCACAGACTATTTTAGATAGTCCAGTGGAACGTTAGCAGACTTGTAATCGGTAGGTATATTTGAACTATATGTTCATAATGTGTTCTTGAACTTTATGTTCATTAGGTGTTTTTGAACTACGTGTTCATTCGTTAGTTCTTCTTTTTGACACTATTACGTGTCGGGGTACGGGAGTACTTTATTACTATTTTCCCTGTACCTTTATTTTGAAGATATTTGGAGTCTTTGTTTCTTTTATGAAGTGATCGGACGAGCTTCATGAGTTAGTGTTTCCATTCTCGATGCCGGATAGGAGTGAGTATGTGGGTTATATACCTCATGATATTCAGACCACAACCTAGGCATTAGTTAATGTTTCCATTCTTGGAGTGAGTCTGGGGGTTATATACCTCACGATATTCAGACCACAACCTAGGCATTAGTCAGCGTCTCCATTGCTAGATAGGGTGCGTCTGGGGGTTATATACCTCATAATATTCATACCACAGCCTAGGCATTAATAATTACCCCTGACTTAATTGTCTGGTGGTTCTTTCTTTTACGAACAAAGGTTCGTGGTTAAACTTATTCCATTCATTTGATGTCTTCTTCGATCCTCGTTTGCTGCTAGGGAATTTCTGAAGCAGTTTCGTTAGTTAGTTGTTCATATCGATCCTTTAGGCTAGATCTAGTAAGATCACTGTATAGGATCAGTATGTGGGGATCGATGTTGTTAGTGCTTGTAATATAAACCTTGGGCAGCGGTGGACTTCGTGCCTAATCCTTAGGATGAATCCTTAG